TTATTTACAGTGCCTACGTACTAAGCTTTTGTGATTTATGCATGCAAACACCCAGATCCCTCTGCACATCAGCATTCTGCATTGTCTCACTATTTAGAGAATATTCTTTTTATTCTTCCTGCAAAAATGGTTAATTTCACCTTTTACCACTTCATATTCCATTTGCCACATCTTTGCCCACTCACTTAACATATCTGTTTATGTTTGTAGCCTTATTATTCCACTTCACAATTTAGTTACATACCTATCTTTATGCCATCAGCAAATTTGGTAACTACAGCTCCTGTCCCTTCATCTACATCGTTCATATAGATTGCAAACATTTGGCATGCCAGCACTGATTTCTGTGGTATACCATTTGTGACATCTTGCCAATCTGAAAATGACCTGTTTATGGCTACTGTCTGCTTTCTATTAACCAGCTAATCTTCTTTCCATGGTCTTTTCTTTTCCATATCAACCTTTACTTTGACACTTTATCAAATGCCTTCTGGAAATTTAGGTACAGTGCATCCACTGTTTCCCCCTTTTCACAACTGAATTTACCTCCTAATGAACTATAATACATTTGTCAAACATGAATACCTTTTCACTAAACCATGTTGACTATGGCTGTTACCTTGAACTTATGTAATCTCCCTTTGTTCATTCACTCATGAGACATAGGCATCGCTGGCCGGCCGGTTTTTATTGCCCAACCTGAGTTGCCTTTGAGAAGGTAGTGGTGAGCTGCCTTCTTGAACTGTTGCTGTCCATGTACTGTTAGGGAGGGAATTCCAAGATTTTAACCCACTGACAATGAAGGAATGATGATATATTTCCAAGAAATATGGTGAGGGTAGATTGGTGGCTCAGTGGTTAGCACTGCTGCCTCACTGCCCCAAGGAACCAGGTTTGATTCCACCTTTGAGCGACTTTCTGTGTGGTGTTTGCATTCTCCCCGTGTCTGCATGGGGTTTCCTCCGGGTGCTCTGGTTTCCTCCCACAGTCCAAAGATGTGCAGGTTAGATGGATTAGTCATGCTAAATTGCCCATACTGCCCAGGGATGTGCACGCTAGGTGGATTAGCCATGGGGAATGCAGGGATAGTGTAGGTGGGCTGCTTTTCGGAGGGTTGGTGTGGACCCAATAGGCCGAATGGCCTGCTTCCACACTGCAGGCATTCTATGATTCTATATGAGGACTTGGAGGGAAGTTTGCAGATGGTGGTGTCCCCATATATTTGCTGCCCTTGTCCTTCTGGAGTTGTTGGTTGGCATGCCGAGCTGATTGGTTTTTGTGCAAACTTTTCGTCTCCATTCTAGGTGACATATTCAGTGCTGTATAGTCTCTGTTAAAGCACTGTTGTTCTGTCCTGGTCCAAAATTATATGGTCCGGTCTGTCATGGTGGGTAGTTCTGCTTCCACTTTTGCACCATAGTTATATGTAGATGGGGTCAATTTTTGTTTATTGCACCAGTGATTGAAAACCAGGCCTCAAGGAATTCTCATACTTGTCTTTGTTTGTTGTCCTTGTCCTTCTAGGTAGAATTGTTTGTGGGTTTGGAAAGTGCTGTCTAAGCAGCCTTGATGAATTTCCACAGTGCGTCTTGTAAGTGGGGCACACTGCTGTTGCTGAGTATCAGTGGTGGAGGGAGTGAATGTTTGTGGATGCAGTGAAAATCAAGTGGTTACTTTGTCCTGGATGGTGTCAAGCTTCTTAAGTGTTGTTGGGGCTGCACCTTTCCAGGCAAGTGGGGAGAATTCCATCACCATCCTGACATGTGCCTTGTAGATGGTGGACAGGCTTTGAGGAGTCAGGACGTGAGTTACTCGCCACAGTATTGCTAGCTTCTGACCTACTCTTGTAGCCACCATGTTTAGGTGGTGAGTCCAGTTGAGTTTCTGGTCAATGGTAATCCCCAAGATGTTGATAGTGGTGGATTCAGTGATGTAATGACATTGAATGTCAAGGGATGGTGGTTAGATTGTCTCTTATTGGAGATGGTTATTGCTTGGTGTTTCTGCAGTGCAAATGTTACTTGCCACTGGTCAGCACAAACCTGGACATGGTTGCATTTGAACAAGGCCTGCTTCAGTGTCTGAGGAGTCGTGAATGGTGCTGAACATTGTGTAATCATTGGTGTATATCCCCACTTCTGATCTTATGATGGAGGGAAGGTCCTGCTATAGCTTCTTTAATAACAGCTTGCTGAAAGGAGATAAGTCAAAACTTTTCCTCTTGCCCTCATCTGTACCAGGGCACAGAATCAGAATTGAAAAAAAATGGATTCAATGTGAGAAGACGGTCCCAATTGGTAGGGCCATCTTTGGCATAGACAGCTCAGTGTGTTCTCAGATAGGTAAAGTAGATTCTGATTGGTCAGGGTATTGGGCCATGGCGAATACAGCCGAGTTTGGATAGCACCATGACCATTTTTTTTGTGAAAATGATGCAATTGTGTGTACAAATTCATTTTGCAAACATAATAGGTTCCTGTATATTTACATATGTAGCTTCCAGCATGTGAAAGTAGAGCACACTGCAAGCCTGACTGATGACCTTTAGTTGGTTTTTGGTGTAACTTTTAGTACAATATAGATTATTCAATAAATAATTTCCAATAGCGGAATTGTATCTAATGGTGGATATACTATTCTGGTCAAGCATGATCGGTATGGTGCCAGCTGTGAATGGTCAATGAGACACATTGTTTGATATGGTCCACTCGTTGTTGGGATGTACAGCCTGGCATCCCACTGGCATTGAAACTCATGTATAATATCACTCATCTGAGATAGGCAAAACAGCTTTTTGTATCGATGACCACATCCTGTTAGTGGGAAACAAAAATACTCATGGGTTTATTGCATAATAGCAGCTTGAGAGAGGCAGCTTCACTTGTTCAATGTTTTGAGATATTGCTCCCTTCCAGGGTGATGGGAAGTAGACTGGGGAGAGGTCAAAGGTGGTGGACATAAGACCTTTCACTAGTTTTCAGAATGTACAGTGATGGATGATTCGCTCATTTGCTATTATGTAGCATTGTTTTCTACGGCCAATCGCAGCATGAGGTTTACTTGGTGAGCAGATGACAAGAGCTGTATTCACAAGGATCAGTTTTTTCCCGCTATGAGAATTAGAATCATAGAATCTCTACAGTGCAGAAACAGGCTCATCGAGTCCATACAGACCCTCCGAAGACTATTCCACCCAGACCCAGCCTCCTACAATATCCCTATAACCCTGCATTTCCCATGGCTAATCTACAGAGCTTGCACATCCCTAGATACAATGGGAAATTTAGCATGGACTATCCACCTAACCTGCACATTTTTGGACTGTGGGAGGAAACTGGAGCACCTGGAGGAAACCCACGCAAACACAGGGAGAAACTCCACACAGGCAACCAACCGAGGCTGGAATCAAACCCGGGTCACTGGCGCTGTGAGGCAGCAGTGCTAACCACTAAGCCACCGTGCCGCCCTAAATTCTCAACTAATGTGTTAATTTAGCTTACTCTTCAGATTAGTTTGTATTTTTGCAGTGAATCATTTTGTTCATCAGAGTTGGTGAGTGGGGAGTAGGGAATTTTTCACTTATGGCACCGAGTTCAGCAGCACATATTCTGAAGTCAGATACAAAGTAATTTTCTTTGTTGTATCAATGAACCTTAACACTATTCTCAGGAAAGCGATCGTCACTGTATTAATGTGAGATTGCTTGTCGCTTTTGAGTAGCGTTGCCAATTAACTGCCATTTGTTTTTGGCTTGCTTAACGCTGTGGGGCCCTATTAGGAACAGTGTGATATTGACAAATTCACTTAAGGCAGCACAGGAAATAACAAAAACTTCACCTCAATAATACGGGCTGGTCTCAAACAGTGATCACCAAGGATGAGTGTATATTGAGCCCATCTACTCCTTTCATCGTCTTATTTAATTCATTTCACTTGAACCTGTACAAATCGCTGCTTGGCCAGGTGCCTCTTCTTATCAATAGACATGGAGTATTCCTCAATTTTTCCATACAAAACAACAATTTACCCATACCACAACATGCAAATATTAAAATAGATCTCATTATCAAAAATGAAAATTATAATAAAGCTGAATTCATAGCCATCTTAACAAGGCTTTATGACCAGGTCCTCCATCATTCCTCGTAAAACAGCAATATAGTCAATTTATAACATAACATGGCAAAGGTGTGATTTTAGATCTCAATCCAGCCAACTTCAGTAAAACACTTTTTTTTCATTATTCCAAGCATGCAACAGTGCCCCCTTGATACTAAAATTCAAAAGCCATCAGAAACAGATCATGAGGAAGGGTCACTGGATCCAAAACGTTAACTCTGTTTTGTCCTTCACAGATGCTGCCAGACCTGCTGAGCTTTTCCAGCAACTTTGTTTTTGCTCCTGATTTACAGCATCTGCAGTTCTTTTGTTTTTTATGAACTTGTTCAACTGGGTCATTTTCCTTACTGACTCTCAGATGTGTTAAATTTTGAGTCTTGAATGAGCCTATATTTGCATATGTTTTATTAATGGGCTTTTCTTGATGAGCATACAGGTGAGTTATAAAATAAAAAAAGGAAGTTAAAAATAAGGAGAATTATTTCTTGTGTTTCTCAGAAGCGAAACATCTAGACATTCAGCAACCAACATAATTTGCCATAACACAAATGGTTCGTAAAAATATTTTAAAAAAGGAAAAGGTCTGATCTTAAAACATACCCATATGCATGGAGAAAAGTATGGTCTTACAAAAAAGAGAAAATACTGTCATTTGAATAAAATCAGCTTTGCATTTCTCCTTCAAGTCTTTGATTAAGGTTTATCATAAGTCAAAACATATTAGTAAGTACAAGAGATATTCATTGGAAATGAAGATTTTGTTCAATTTATAAATCAAGGAAAACAGCAGATGTTCACTTCTTTAATACAATGGTCAGAACCTATTTAAAGCTCAGAAATTTAAAAAAAATGATGAACTTGGTAATAAAATGAATGCCGCTATCAAGGCTGCTGTAGTTAGACAAATAAATATTTCAAAGTATTTTTCTATCATTATTATTCTTGACATTCTAAATGTATATTTTTGTTGCTTCTGAAGGCGCACAAAATAAAATCTTTTCTTTTATATCAGCATATGTAAGGCATTTTTATGAAAGTGTTTAGATGCTTTACTTTCTTTTTCGAAAGGTACAACATTATTAGCCTAACCTTAGTCCAGAAGGTTTCATTGCTTTTAAAACATCCATCCTTCAAGAATAAACAGAATGATTTCAGTACATCAGTGGAAATCTACGGGTACTTTGGCCTCCAAAGAAAACAGCCAGCGGTGAAGTCAAAAGAAAGAAATTTGTGAAAATATTCCTGACCTGTAAGACATTCTTTATTTGAAAAAATAACTTTATAGATGTATGTTTTTAAGTATTCCAAGATCAAGAGAAATTGTCACTATTTGCAGGCTGAACTGTCTGAAAGATCTAGCTGATTTATACTACCCAAACAGCAGACACGACATGTCTGGGAGAGTCTTAAGGGACCGACAATGATGTCATGTTAAGGAAATAGCTGGATGAACTTGGCACTTCACAAAGCTGGCTCTTCTTCCATTGGTTCATCAGGAGTTCTAGAAAAATAAATACACAATCAGAACAGTATACATGGACATTTACAACCTCTATGTGGGGTCACAGTTGAATCTGAATTATACATGATGTTTATTTGTCCTATCCAGTCACTTATAAATAAAGTATCTTTTCCTGAAGCAACTTTAAAGGGGAAAAGCTAACAGTCAAGAACTGTCTCCAAATATACTGCAATAACAGTAACCTCAGAAAATTAAAGTGCACCTGAAGAAATATTCCTGAATTCTGAATAATCCAAAAGTTTAAAAGCATTAATGTACTAGTAATGGTTATAACGTAAAGGACTGTGAAGTGATTAAATGACACGGGGTTTTTGAAACAACTTGGAGCCACGATTAATTTGAATCTCATTATTACCTTCATATCATGTGAAAGTATGTTTTAATAAACTGAAATTAAAATTGAAACTGACATTCAATTGCAATAAATATCAGGTGCAGTTTTAGGCCTTCTTGGCTGAGATCAAATTTGGCACTTATGATCTGAGTTGCAAGTTTCTTTTTATGCACTCATAGTATGTCTATTACTCATTACTGGGTGTTCTTGAGCTGCCTTCTTGAACTGCTGCAGTCTGTCTGATGTAGGTAGGCACAAACAATGCTTTCAGGGAGGGAATTCCAGGATTTTGCCCCAATAATATTGAAGGAATGGTGATATATTTCCAAGATAGGATAAGCGAGGCTTGGGACGGAGTTTGCAGGTGGTTGTTTTAACATGTATCTGCTGTCCTTACCCTTCAAATGGAAGTGTTTGTGGGTTTGGAAGCTACTGTCTAAGCAGCCTTGATGAATTTCTGCAGTGTGTCTTGTAGATGGAGCTCACTGCTGTTATTGAGAGGCAGCGGTAGATAGAGCGAATGTTTGTTGATGTGGTACAAATCAAATGGGCTGTTTTGTCCTGGGTGGTGCTTAGTTTCTTGAGTGCTGTTGGAACTTCATAAACTGAGCATTTTTGAACAAGGTTATAATGAAATCAGGAGCTGAGTGGCCCTGGTGGAGCCCAAACTGAGCATCAGTGAAGTGGTTATTGTGAAAGAAGTGCTGGTTGATAGCACTGTTCATGATCCCTTCGATCTCTTTGCTAATTATCAGGAGTGGAATGATGAGCAATTTTCTGCATCGTCGAGTAGATGCTAGTGTTGTAGCTGTACTGGGACAGTTTGACAAAGGATGCAGCTAGTTCTGGAATGCAAGTCTTCAGTACTATTGCTGGAATGTTGTCAGAACCCATAGCTTTGGCAGCATCCAGTGCCTCCAGCTGTTTCTTGACATCTAATGGACTGAATTGATTTGGCTGGTGACTGGCATCTGTGAGGCTTAGGACTGCTGGAGGAAGTTTTGTTGTTTTTTTTTAGTTGTTTGTCGAGATCACAATGGTGGATTTGGCCTAATATCCTAATGACGCGCAAGCTTCACTTTGAATTGTGGATCTTCAGGCTTGCTGAAAAGACCCACAAACCACATCCGAATTCAAGGCAAGGATGCCACCTCAGGATGCAGTGAGAAAATCAGCAGGAGGCATCTCAGTGGCTGAACCTTTTTTTAATGAAGGGGATCCTGTTTGAATACAGTGGTTTTCAAACTGTGGATATCTTTTACCTGCAGGTTGCCCTAACAATAGCTAATTTGAAGATACCTGAGAATGCCTAAAATCTCTGGAAACATTCAAGATGAAAAAAAATGAGGTATAACTGTTGATCCTCACTGTAGAGTTACTATTTAGTTGTCAATACAATAAAACTGCATTGTAATATTCCTGTCGTGAATATTCTCATGTTCCTAGCCAAATACATTGAGATGGTTGCAAACAGGACGGAAGCCAATGTGTGATTTGAGGTGTGTGATTTATAGATATATTCATATCATTTATTTTAGGGTGTGAATTTTGAACGAGTGGTATGTGTTTCATCTATGTGTGTGAAATGGCTTCATAGTTAACTTATCATTCCTTCTGGAGCCATGATTTTAAACCAATATATGCCAGACAGCAGGTGACTGTGGATTACTTGCAGTAATCACGTGAATTTGCTTGTATTGTGAGAGTTTTATGATTGTACAGATTAATATTAGTTTGATTTTGCATCAGAAGAAGCAAGGATTGATTTTTCCAACCCATGGATTGGAAAGCTTTTGGGGGCACTTCACAGAGGCCCTGTCAGATGTCAGATGTAAGAACAACTTCTCTTAGATAAAAGAGTGAGTTGCAAACATTTAGGAAATTGATTGGCGTAAGGGTTTTAGTTTGAAAATTCCAGACCAGTGGTACTTGGGTAGAAACTTGAATTATTTGAATCTAAAAAACTTAAGTTCTGTTGTGTGAATCAAAGAAGAGGCTCTCAAGTTTTTATGACCACGAATTGAAAGAATTACCCAGAGATCTGACAAAGAAGGGAACTCTGGTATTTGAGTGCTATCAAATAATGGTGATGGGAATTTGTTCTGTTGTGTACATCCAAATCTTTTACATTATGTTATATATAAATAGCTTGGTTTGTTCTTTTTTATCTTCACTTCTTATTGTGTAATAAACTTCTGTTTTAGTGTTAAAAACAAATCGGCAGCATTGCGTGCTTATGTTTCAGTTGATGATCACCATATTAAATTGAAAGAAAATATGATCTATCAAGCCAGATTTCAGTCATGGATCTGACTTATCCATTAATAGCATCATTAGGAATATAACAAGTACCTTATTCTTGATTGTGACCAGCAAGGTCAAGGTGACCTTGAATGTAGATACCATAGGAACCAGCCTTTATGCTCTTTTCAAATTTGATATTAGGGTGGTCAGGTTGTTTCGTCTATCTGGGCCTGTTCAGAGTTTGTTGCATCAGACCACCTGTGGTGTTGGGGATATAGTTCAGAAAGCAACTAAGCACTGGGTGGCGCAGATAGACATCTTGAAACCAACACTGGGCACACAGAAGTGATGTGCTCCTGGCTTTGCTGTATGTGTACAAGTCTGATCCACACCCCATGAAAATGTAGTGGGGAGCTGGTAGGCCTTGTGAAATGGCAATGGACAGTATTGGGAGGGGAGCAGCAAATTAAACTAATTAAGTGGCCAATTAAGGACCACCATGCCTCCTGATAGCCTTTGACCACAGCAGAAGTGATGGTTTATGAGCATACAAACAAGGAGCAAGGGTAGGCCTTTTGGCTAATCAAACCTGTTCTGCCATGCAATAAGATCATAGCTAATCTGAATTTGGCCTCAAATCTACTTTTCTATTTACGCTTTGACTCCCTTTTCAATAAAGAATCTATGTAATGAGACTGTCTCCACACTGCTGTCTGGAGACAAGAATTCCACAGACTAACAATCCTATGACAGAGAAAGCATATTCTCATTATCTCTGTCTTAGATGGATTGTTGCCATCCCTTGTAAATAGTTAAGCATTAATGACATTGTGGTGGATCTGGAGTCACATCTAGTGCAGTCCAGTAAAGGATGATAGACATTCTTCCCCAGCGGACAATATTAATCAAGATCAGTTTTTATGTCAATGAATGATAATTTCATAGTTATTAATACTGAGACTGGCTTTAAATTTCAGATGATTTTCTTAAATTAAATTAATTTATTTTATTCATTGGATTGAAATCTCTCTAACCATGGAGCTAAGATTTGAACTCTTGTCCCCAATGTCTGAATGTTAAACTACCAATTCAGTGACATTCCTACTGTGCCACAGTCTTCCTTTAAACTGTGCGACTAACCACATCATCATGGAATGCTCTATTTTGTAGGACTGGGCCATTCCGCCCATTTCTTATGGAGAAGTCTGCACGAACCACAATTCCATCAGGCTGAGATCTACATGGAATACCCTTGAAGCCCTACAGATGAAAGAGATTTCCCCTGAGCGGACTGTCATCGTCATTTGGCAGAATGACTTATAACTAGAACTTTAGAAGATTTAATGAACTAGGACTCACCGAGGTAGGGGCTTGCTGGTAAAATTTGGTTTTGGAATATTCAGGCTGAATGGAAGCTTAGTTCTCATGAAATAAGGAGAAGTGACCCTATTGGAAAGCTGGGATTAATTTGGGACTTAAATCATTACTTCTAAACATCTGCCAGAAGTGCAGTATGATGTTAGATGATGTGTCTCAAATGTGTTAATTAGATAACATGTAAGTACTTTCTCTTGAGTTTGGCGTATTAGTTGCCTGTCAAGATACTTATTGGTTTTAGTTTGCTTGGTACTGTAAATGCTTAAAATGTGAAAATGTCTCTTTTGCATATTTCTATTAGCTGGTGGAAATTTCAACAAATTTAAAATCTTATGGCCTCTCTGGGATTGTAATAATTTTTATTTCTCCTTTTTATAAAACTTTCTTAGCTTGCTAAAAATAATGCTAGATTTGTAAAGTATTCTGATAATATGTGATCATTCTTAATTGAAAATTAATTCCTTGCATACAAATTAGGAGTAGGCCATTCGAAAAGATCATGGCTGAGCTGATTACAAACTCATATCCACATTCCTGCCTATACCCTAATAATGAAAAATCTATCTACCTTTGCCTTATAAATATTAATGGACTCTCCTTCCATCATATTTTCATGAAAGGAATTCTGGAATCACAATCTTCTGCGAGAAAACAAAGTCAACCCAGCTTTGTTTTAAATAGGCAACCCCTAGTTCTATCCTGTCAAGATCCCTCGGTATCTTATATTTTAATTTACATATATAAACACAATTTACAATTTTATGTAATTGCACAGCGGTTGTCACCGCTGCCTCCTGCTTGCTCAGTTTGTACATTATTTTTGGGGCATGGTACTGGGCCACACAAACTAAAGTAGTGTCAGGTTTCACGCTTGGTCTGGCAGCATCTGTAGAGAGAAATCAGAATTAACATTTCGGGTCGGGAGACCCTTTCTCAGAACTCTAAATGGAAGGGTCACTCGACCCGAACCGTTAACTCTGATTTCTCTTCACAGGTGCTGCCAGACCTGCTGAGCTTTTCCGGC